TCCATTGATGAAATAGCTTATACATCTCATCGTCCGAACAGTTTGAAGTAACTAGCAAAAGAAGCAAATGTCAAAATCGAGCAAGTGATTGTTGGAAAAAGTTTAAAAAGGTTTATTGTTTCAGAAGATACACTATGCAGTCTATGCACATAAACTCAGTTTACCAAACACCAACCAACAAAATCCAATTATCGATCACTAGTTTGTTCACAAACCTTCCGCAATAGCTCGACTAGCCAAAATATCAGTCTGCATGATTGCCTCAGCTAAAGATTTGTGGGCTTGTACTTTTTTGCATTTGGCTTCAAGAACTCCGTTCTCTTCCAGTAAAGCTGCCTCGGCATTCTGAAGCAGCACATCATATTTTTTACGTATCTGCTCAATCTCCTTCTCGCATTCCATCTTCGATTGCAGTTTCTACAGTTTATTCCAGGATAAGGAAAACATAATTTTGAGCATAAAAATATTGAAAAAAAAAACAATGGAAAATGGCTGAAAGGAGGAAAAGAAATAAAAATATAGAAACTAACTTTCTCTTCGTGTAGCTTCAAAAGATCATTTTTCTCCTTTTGCAGTACTTCAAGCTCTATTTTGAGTGCTTTACAAACCGATTGTGGTGCTATAGGAGAAGCCGCAGGAGGAGGTTCAGAATTCAGGGAAGAACGAGAAACACAAGCATCACGAATAGCACTCAACTCTCTCCTATCTTCTCCTATAGGATGTTCTGCGAAAAAATCCAATTGCCTAATTGGATCCTCAACGAGTGGCCGTGTAGCAGCATCATGAGGGCGGCCATCCTTTTGTGTTGTTCTTCGTTCATCAGCAAATGGCTGTGGGGAATAAAGCAGTAAGAAACCTTTGCCTTCATTTGTTTTTTCTCGTCAAGTGCTCATTTCATCGTTATACTTTAAGACGATGCATCAACATAGAGTTATGTAGTAACAAGTGTATGGGCGGGAAAAGACATTTTTAATAAAGCACTCTTTACCAGAGAATGGTGTTCACTCTTTATACTTTGTAGGTTGACCCATGAGCTTACTTTTCTTCTTTTGTTAGTTTCTGCTGAGACGTGTTTTACATAATTGCTCGTCGAACTGAACTTCCCACTACCTGGAATGTTATTTGCAGAAAGAAGTATTTAAAGAAAATGAATGAACTTTCAGATGGCAAAAAGAAAAAAAA